CACATATACAGTGGTACCTCAGGTTAAGTACTTAATTCATTCCAGAGGTCCGCTCTTAACCTGAAACTGTTCTTAACCTGAAGCACCACTTTAGCTAATGGGGCCTCCTGCTGCTGCTGCGCTGCCGGAGCACGATTTCTGTTCTCATCCTGAAGCAAAGTTCTTAACCTGAGGTACTATTTCTGGGTTAGCGGTGTCTGTAACCTGAAGTGTATGTAACCTGAGGTACCACTGTACTCTTCAAGCCTTGCAGCGGGCTTCCCAGAAGCTTCAGGCTGGTCACTGTGACAGGATGCTAGGCTAAATGACTTGGATCCAGAGATTGCCATGAGGCAATCAGGATGCTGATGGGGGCTGAGTTAGTGTGTTCATCTGCACAGACCCCACTGGTTTACTTTAAATGCAATGCAACTGCTGAAGAGTGCTTTCAAGTTAAAGCTGAATGAGGCCTCTCTCTCTCTCTCTCTCTCTCTCTCTGTGTGTGTGTGTGTGTGTGTGTGTGAGAGAGAGAGAGAGAGAGAGAGAGAGAGCGAGAGCTGGGGTCAGGGGGAAGAGAGAAGCAGAGAATCAGGGTCACCCATGACGTAAGCATCCCATTGACTCATTAGCAAAATGAACAAGCTACAGGACAAGCCTGCTCTGCTGAAAGAAAAGAGAAACTACATTTGTTGCTGTACTACTAGGTTTGGAACTTCAGCTGAAAAGTCTTTATTACTTTTTATCCCTGTTTTTAAAAAAGCCTGCACACTTTTCTGCCCCGTGAGGGCAAGGTGTACACGTTTACGGTGGAGCCAAGCAGCTATAAATGGCATACAGGTGCTTGACAGAAAGCAGCAAGAAACAATAATTTGTTCTGTGCATGGCGAAAAGCACAGCGAGGGTCTGTCTTTGCTTTAGCGGAAAATGGCTTCCCAGAACCCTTTTCGGTGACTGAATTCATTTTTCCGTGACTGGAGATCAATGGCCTCCATTTGCAAAGAATGGTTAAGAAAACAATTCGTATCACACAGATTGCTGATTTCCACACCCCCTTTTAATTGTGGAAGTTTTCACGTGCAACATTAGTGGGAGAGGAATGAGTTAGGCCCCCCTTTTTATCATTTTGCCCTGTGTCTTGAAAGCAAATAGGAGACCTTTTCTTTTTCATACTTCAAACTTGCGAGGAGGAAGCAAACCAAAGCCTTCTTCTCTCTGTCGGCTGTCTCTGAGAAGCGCTTGCAAGAAGAACACAGCAAGTCCAAAGTTCAGATGTAAAGTGAAAATGTCACCTTTCCGTCTAGGACGGAACAACAACCCCCCTTGTCTTTCTGCACAAGAGTGCCATATAGAACCAACCTGACAACAGAATGACATTAACTTTCATACCACTACAATGCGTTGCGCTCTTTTTCTCTTTCGCGCGCTCTCTCTCTTTTTGTTCCTGTGCAGTGAAATAATTCCCTTGTAGCTCAAATTCAAATCTAAAAGACATCAAAGTATAATATGAAACAAAATGGAAGGCACCGCAAGTGTCTGAGAGAAAATAGAGAGAGGCACATTACTTTGTAGCTTCCCCTCTCATGCCAAGATTGCAGCGCCACAGAAGTCAGGAAGCCACAGTAGGTGCCTTGAAATCCCCTTGGTAGGTTAGATTGTTTTTCATCTCTAGTATTTCTAAAGTCTTCCCCCCCTCTAGTATTAAGGAATACCATTAAAAAGAACCACACCACAACTTAAATATAAGGACATGGTGTGTTATGAAGCATGAAGTTCTATAAATATTTATGCCAAACTACAAAAAACCGTTGACGGTTCTTATTTTCTCAGTCATATTGGGGTCATTTTGTTGTTTTTGACCACTGGGATTGAAGAGCGCACACGGCTTTGTACCTTTTTTTAGAATGACATTTGGGTATCCGCGCATCTCTCTCTGGCTCTTGATGAATTTATTTCATTTCACAGGTAACTTTGAAAAAGCTTGGACTCTGAAATCAGATCCTACACCTTGTTGGCCACCAACTTGGTGTAAGCTACTTGGGCGTTGTTTCTAAAACTTTTGATGCTGCAACCATCCCATGCGAAATGGGAACTAGTCCTAGTGGGACATGAACATGAGTTCAGTTTTGAGCAGGAAATAGAGTTGAGTTTTGGTTCCAGCCCTATGGTTACTTTTTGTGTGTGGAATGCTTTCCTGAGGGAGGCTCACCTGGCGACTTCATTAAATAACTTTAGGCGCCAGGCAAAAACATTCCTCTACAACCAGGCCTTTGGCTGATGAAACAATCTATGGCCTTGAACTAATGTATGCTGTTGTGCAAACTTAAAAAAATAAGAAAAATGCTTTTTTTAAAAAACAAAAACACAAATGTATCTGAAATATCTCAGTCATGGGGGAAAAAATCCATAGTGTTTGCCCAAAGGTGGAAAGAAGAATCAGCTCCAAACAAAGAGAACTGGCAGCAAAAACTACTTGAATATGCAGAAATGATGAAACTTACTGGAGGATTAAGAAATCAAGAAGAGAGAATTTTTAATCAAGAGTGGGGATCATTTATTAAATATTTAAAGAACTATTGTAAACAGCTTAAAACTTTAGCAGGACTGATATAAACACGTGCAGATGGCGATGTTGAAATTTTAAGTGTAAGAGATTAATTATAATTAGTTTTTAATGTTGGAAATGCAGGAAAAAAGAAGAGATAACTTATGTAACGGCAGAAAGGGAGGGAGGGAAGTCAATGTCAAATGTGTAAAAGAATATCTGATATCTTCTGTAAAGTGTGTGTGTGTGTGTGTGTGTGTGTGTATGAGAGATATGAATCAATTGGATCTGGGTTGTTCGGGTCTGGCTGATCTATTGGAAGATAGTTACTGGCATAAGAAACTTCCTTATGCCAAGTCATACAATTGTTCCATGTACCTCAGTATTGCTTACACCAGGGTTTCCCCAGCTTGAGTCTCCAGCTGTTTTTGGACTACAGTTCCCATCACCCCTGACCACTGGTCCCACTAGCTAGGGATGATGGGAATTGTGGTCCAAAATCAGCTGGAGACCCAAGTTTGGGAAGCCCTGACGCGCAACCACCTTGAGATGGTGGGGATTAATTGGGGCCTTCTGCACACCAGGCAGATGCTGTACCATTGAGCTTTGGCCCTCCCCTTCTTAGTGAAAGCCCTTATTAGAAAAAGCCCTGATATCGGTCTTGTAACTGGCTCTGTACTGATCAGTATCACAGCATGGTCCTTAGGTCTTACAGTCTCTGTTGCCACTCTGGCATCACAGGGGCTATGGCACCCCCCCCCCAAGGCTTTCAGTGGTGCTCTTTCTGGGCTGCTGCCCCAGAGCCTGAGCTTTCATTAAAAAAAGAAAACAAGTCTCTAGCCCTCCTAGAAAGAAAGCTATGGGGCGAAATGTGCAGGTAGCTTCTAAGCAATATATGCGGATTGAGAATGATTGTGGTGTGACCACCTTGTATATTTTCCTCCAGTACTGCATGCTATTAGACAGCAAATGCATTGTGTGTGTGCGCGCGCAAAATTGCATTATTGTGTGATCTCTACAACAGAATCAGCCAGATACAGCTGACACGCCTCATGGTAAGCATGAGGTGGTTCGGGGATGGCTGTGTCTACCATTTTGTGTTATATACTGTACTGCCCTTGGCAGGCATTTTGTGTTGTGCTGTTCCCCTTATAGCATCAGTTTTGTGACTGTCACCGCTGGCACTCTCTCAGAATTCAAAATGGGCCCACTGTATGGGCCTAAAGTTCTTTGGACATGGGAATAGGCACCATTACAGACCTCTGAGTAAAAATACATTGGATTGGGCAGCATGTTTGCAAGGCAGGACAGGATTGAAGGGAGAGGACCTTATTAAACAAAATTAATTCCAGGTTTTCCTGGAATAGTATTTGTTTAACAGGGAGTCTAGCTGTTTTGCTTGTGAGGATCCAGCTCAAAACTTTCAGCTTTGAAACTCCTCCTGCGATAAAAGGTAAAGGTACCCCTGCCCGTACGGGCTAGTCTTGACAGACTCTAGGGTTGTGCGCCCATCTCACTCAAGAGGCCAGGGGCCAGCGCTGTCCGGAGACACTTCCGGGTCACGTGGCCAGCGTGACATCGCTGCTCTGGCGATCCAGAGCCGCACACAGAAACGCCGTTTACCTTCCCGCTAGTAAGTGGTCCCTATTTATCTACTTGCACCCGGAGGTGCTTTCGAACTGCTAGGTTGGCAGGCGCTGGGACCGAGCAACGGGAGCGCACCCCGCCGCGGGGATTCGAACCGCCGACCTTTCGATCGGCAAGCCCTAGGCGCTGAGGCTTTTACCCACAGTGCCACCCGCGTCCCTCCCCCTCCTGCGATACTAACCCACAATAGGAGTCATGGTAAATTGCCTTCCAAGCAATTGTGCAATATTAGGAACAAATTTAGGGACAATATTAGGAACAAATTGAGCAAGATGCAGGCAAATTTAGCCCCTTGGTAATATCGTCTTGGTTGGTAAAAGGGTTTATTTACAGCTGCAGGAATAATTCAGTACGGATTAATTCTGTGTGATATATACTCTACATTGATGAATTGCAGAATATATTTGAGATGAGGGTGTCCTCATACCATCACATATTTTGAGGCTATAAATTTGATTAAAGTTGCTCTCTGTCGGTCACTAGATGGCATTGCCTGCCTGTGTTCTCAGAAAATGGAAGTGTGTCCATGTTGAGCTGTCAGAGCTTCCCAAGTATTTGCTAATATTAGAAGGATGCATACTTTCTGCCTGCCTGCCTTTCTCTTTAAACAAAACCAATTAATTATTTTCTCCAAATCCAGCATATTGGCTTTTTGGATGGATAGAATGCTTGGCAGAAAGACACAAAATGCTTCTTGAGGCTGTTTGGAAAGACATAAATCATACCTTGTTTTTCCTTTTTTAACAAGAAAGGGTCTCTGGTTAACAAAACGGCATCTAGAAGCAGGTTGAACTCTCTCGACTTCTTACTCAAGTTTATGTTGCTTTTGCAGGTCGCTTGTCTAATACGGGTTCCCTCTGAAGTTGTGAAACAGAGAGCACAAGTTTCTCCTTCTTCCAGCACCTTACGGATCCTTACCAATACTGTATGCGAAGAGGTATGAACTGAAGCAATAATATATTATTCCTGTGCTTACCCCTGCCTCCACTTCTATCTCCTTATACTGTAGTTTCCCATGTGTCAAAATTGAGTTTTGTAAGCTCCTCAGGGCAGGGACCTGGCTTCTTTCTACTCTGTAAAGCACAAATATGCGTGGGTGGCAGTGGATAAATAAACCAAAAAGCAGTTTTTAGTTAAGGAGAGCCTGTGAGCTGCTAATTCCTTGAGAACGGAAAGATGTTACTGTGTGCTCCAGAACGTTAATGATTCCCAAAGTCCTTCTGGACCAGATATTCAAACTCCCTGTTGGTCTCTTACCAAGGAGTCTGCAGAAACCCCAGGGGTCATATTGCCATTTTGTTTAAAGTAGCCCCCGTTCAAAAGTGTAAAATGGCGAATTGAGAAAGTAGTTGTTCTGGGTTGGGGTGTGCAGATTGGGAAGTTTGCATTGTTGCAGTTTAGCTACACACTTTTTGAAGAAGTGCCTTGTTTTGTAAGTTCTGAATATTCCAACATTCAGCTTCATTGAATGGCCCAGAGCAGGCATAGGCAAACTCGGCCCTCCAGATGTTTTGGGACTACAACTCCCATCATCCCTAGCTAACAGGACCAGTGGTCAGGGATGATGGGAGTTGTAGTCCCAAAACATCTGGGGGGCCAAGTTTGCTGATGCCTGGCCCAGAGTGTCTTCTAAGAGGAGTTTTTTGGCTGTGTGTTTTTAGAATTGTCATGGGCAAGGATTTAGCTTGTGTACATCCACTGAATTTTGGATGAAACTGGAGGATGACCAGACAGATCAGCAAGAAGCCTCAAAAGACCAGCAAATAAGTCAGAGCAGGTCATGTGAAGAAGTATGGATAGGCCTGTGATGTGTCCAGAGCAATGAAGCAGCTTGACTTGGCTCTCCTCGTCTTCTATCTTGACATATCCACCTTGGTGTGGATGTGTTCCTAGGATCTCCCTTGGCCAGTTCTGCAGGAGGCTGGATTGACAACGACATGGAAGTAAGAAGTCATACTAACAGGAAGCTGGTGTTGTAAGAACATCAGCGGACCAGATCTGTACAATGCACACAAAGTATTCTGGCACTCTTCTGAGAGCCTTTTTTTCTTCAGAGTGGGTCTGGAATTATTGTGTAAGATGCCTGATGTGGACGACCAAGTGGAGATCACATACTTGTTGCCTGGCACAGATAAGTTTGCGACCTTAATGTTGCAGGATTTGCTGTTGCAGACGAGAAACTGAGAAGAAGTTCATCAAAGATAATATGGCGGGCTGCAAAGTTTGATCGGCAATGTAATATAGTAACTTATTTGTGTTGGCCTCTGTTTTAATATATCTATGCATAAATTGGTTTTTTAATGGTATAGCGTGGTATAGCATTCTGTATAGCGTGTATAGGACATGTATTTCTTTTTGGTGGTGGTTGAAATGACCATGATGGTTGGAACAACAAATAAAATTGATTGCTCTTCAGAGTGGGTATGACCCAAAGCTGTTAAATATTAAGGGTTATTCATTAAATGTTTGGCTGTCCACCAGCCTCAAAGACTCCCTTTCTCTGTTCATGTGCATTTGGAATACCTGATGGCTCTAGATACCAGCTATGCATGGCAAGAATGTGTTGACATATTTCTATGCTTTCCCATTCTTCTAACTTAAGAATGCAATATATTATCTTTTCGATGCGCCACTGCGACTGATTATTTTTTAGTAGCCGTTAAGCAAGTTTTGAAAGTGGGGATAAAGCCCTCCCATGTTGGTAAAGCTAGGGAGACAACCTATAGTGTGTTTATAATCAATATTGTCAATTTGCTGGAAGCCTGAGCATTACGCTTAGTAAAGCTGTAATACCTGCCATGTAATCATCCGTAAATTGCAGTCTTTGCTAACATAATTCCCGATCGCTGAAGTTTTCTCTTGTTTATTCGCAGGGTATTCTGGGACTCTACCGAGGTTATAAAAGCACAGTATTAAGAGAGGTAACACGTTTCCCCCCTCCCCTTTTAAAATGATCTATGTCTTTTGGATTTCCTTCAGTTATTTCTTTTTCTCCAGATGTGTTATGGTAGTAATACAACTGAAATGGAAACGATGAAATTTTGTAAGCAGTTCTCACTCGTGCTTCCCTTTACCTGGCCCTCTCGGACAATGCCTCCTTTAAACTTCCATCTCATAGGGAGAAAGAGTCAGTTCAGATTTAAATGGAGAGCCTGTGCTGGATCAGGCCCATGGCCCATTTGGTCCAGCACCCTACTCTCACAGTGGCCAGCTAGATGCCTGTGGGAAGCTTGCAAGCAGGACATTTGAGTGCAGCGGCACTCTCCCTACTTGTGATTCCCAGAAATTAGTATTCAGAGGAATGTCACTTCCAACAACCAAGGGAGAATGTAACCATCTTCCGTGGATAGCCTACTCCTCCATGAATCATCTTACTGTCCGAACTACAGGCCACCCAAGGGCATGTATTTCTATTCCATTCAATGGGTCTGCATAGGACTGGCACTGAGGACCACCCGTCGTTCTTGTAATGACCAGCTGGGTTCAGTTCAGATTGCCTGCGGGTGAAAGTTGGGGCAGATCCAAAGGCTGCTGGTCTCTCAGGCAGAGGTGAGGCAGTGGCCATGTTTCTTTACTCTCCCATTCTGCAGCTTGATAGAGCGGCTGCTACTAAAGGACAGTGGAGGGGCTCCTGTGCCTCAAATGGCGCCTCTCACCATTGTGTCATGAGCCCCTTTAATACGATGAAAAACAACAATACGAACATCGGCTCCCATCTTCGTTAGGGACTATGGTAATCTCCAGGACCATCTACTGCATTTTCCTTTTATCTGGGCTCCTTGTTACTTTGGGAGCAGCCGCATTGTTCCAGGGCAAACTCTCCCTCAGGCACTGTTGATGTCGTGTCAGGCACTCGCTGGCGACGCTTCGTAACGTCGTAGGTGACAAAGCACACAGGCCCGTGGGAGCATGCGAGAACAGTGTGCTTCTAAGAAGTTGGCTTGGCATCTCGGACAAATTTTAAAACCTTACATAACAATAACCCGCTGGATCAGTCCAATGACTCACCCAGTCCGCGAGATCCACAAGCAGGACACAAACACAAGAACATCCTCCTGTGGCTTCCAACTATTGATATTCAGAATTATTTTTTCCCCTCTAGCCATGGACACAGAGTCTAGCCATTGTGGCTAGTAGCAATTGGTAGCCCTCTGCCCCTTGAATTTGTCTAATCCTCTTTGAAAGCCAACTGGGAGGCTTCTGTGGGAGTGAGCGCCATAATTTAACTACTAAGATTCAGGCAGCAGGTTGGCAGTGTGGAAGAAGAGAAGGAGCATACCATCAGTATAATAGAATTATAGAGTTGGAAGGGACTCTGAGTCTGATCTATTCCAACCCCTTACAGCGCCAGTGTGGTGTAGTGGTTAAGAGCGGTAGACTCGTAATCTGGGGAACCGGGTTCGCGTCCCCGCTCCTCCACCTGCAGCTGCTGGGTGACCTTGGGCCAGTCACATTTTCTGAAGTCTCAGCCCCACTCACCTCACAGAGTGTTTGTTGTGGGGGAAGAAGGGAAAGGAGATTGTTAGCCGCTTTGAGACTCCTGAAGGGGAGTCTTCAAACCCAAACTCTTCTTCTTCTTCTTTTTGTCCAACGTGGGACTCAAACCCATGACTAAGAGTTTCATGCTCTAACAATTGAGCTACGCTTCCCCTAATCTCAAAAGTTGTTTCCTCCTATCCCTTCTTTTTCTCCCTGCATTTTTTTTTTTTTTGGAGAATGGGGCCATAATACTGCATTAATGAAAAATAAAATGGAATAACAACAACTTGAGCAAGCTCCCGATTCTTCAACCAGCACGCAGTTTATACTGTTGTCTGAAGCGCCAGTTTGCTAGCTTTCCTTCCAAAGTTTATTTATTCCTTTAAAGCAAGGTTAGGCAACGTGGTGCCCACCAGAAATTGCTGGACTACAACCTCCCCCTCCCCCCTCCCTGAGCCCAATGGTCACATTGACTGGGGATAATGGGAGTTGTAGTACCCCTGCTTTAAATGCTTTCTTCTGTGCACGTACAGGGCACCTCAGGTTTCAAACAAAACAACAGGAGCTCCATGTCCTGTGTAAATACTATCATATAACAATAAGAAATCCCACGCTTAGTCTAGCTCTAGGTAGTGGGGAATGGTGATGAGGGTTTCTTTGTTCTCGTACCTCTCTATGTGTCGGGGGGGGGGAAGAGTTATTTGTTTGAAGAGGTGACACCTGCTTTTCTCAAACGTAACCCCCGCTATATCTTCATCCTGTACTTATTTTCTGCCTCACTAAGCACATGTTACTTGTTGCGATTTCATCTGGTTTCAGGCAAGGAAAAGAAAAGAAAAAGGGCAACAAGGCTTTTTGATTTCTCTGAGGGGTTCTGAATAAATGAATAAAATGCAACTGCCAAAGAATACTGATTTATTATTATTATTATTTGGCATACTAACTGATGATAAAACGCACGGCTGCTACTGGATGCTATTCTCTCTCTCAAAAATAAAATAATGTTTTTTGATATGTGTCAGGTCGGTGATTAATTTCTGGTTGGGTCTCTTAAGCACAGTTACGTATGTGACCCTGCCAAGAAAAACTCTTGGGTACTCAAAATGGCGACACTTTGTTGGGGCCCTTTCCATTATGTGAATTCACAAAAGGTCCTTCAGAGCCATTTTCCGTCGAAATATTGCTCCCCCCACACCACAGCTTGAACATCTACCTTAATAGAATGAATAACAAATTATGGTTGAATGAGATTCACCTTCACTTCAGATTGAAACAAATCATGAATGACCAGCTTCTCTTAAATTTAACTCCAGCTTTGTGTGTCAAAATGACACTCTTTTACTGGGCATGTAATGAACAAAAACAGTTGTGTGCACACACTTGTGTGTGTACACACACACACACACACACACACACACACACACACTTGTTGCCCAGGGATTTCTGCACTGGATGGGAGACATGCTGTGAACTGTTAGATACTTCACTGTTCTTTTTCTGCACTAGTTTCATAACTAGATGTGGCAGGAACCACATGCTTCTTCTCTTTTTCCTGTCCCTGTTTATTGAGGAGAAACAAAATCCAGCATGATGTCACTGCAGCCCAGCCAATGGCAGCCAGTGAAGGGTCGTGGAGGCGGAGACCTTGCCACAAGGTTAACCTTGAGCTACGTGGTGCAGTTTTGTAGGTGTTACCAAAACCGGGAGAGGGAACGTGGTGATTCTGTCTTTGGCAGCACATATGCAGCTCCCATTGCATGTAATTCAATTTATTTATCTATTTTTATGTTTCTGAGCCTGCTGATACCATTTTCTCCAGGCTCCTGTAGCAGCACGGTTAAAACCTGGAAGATGACAAGGCGAGAAAATTACACCTAAGCATCCTAAAAGATGTTCTGTTGGCTGCTGTTTAACCAATCCTATGCAAATACAGCAGTGCAGAAATGAAGTTTAGTTAATCGGGAAGAATGGGTGCTTTATGATGGTGCTGTAGGCATTGAGATCCCAATTGGATACAACAGAAGTGAAGGATTTTGATGCAGCTTTGTGTGAATTTCCAGGACTGCGAAAGCAAAGCGATGTGTGGGGTAGATCTTGTGCAAAGTGTGAGCATACTGATAAAGCCAGTTGTACAGGGAATTGTGCATTCATGATCTTGCAGTTTGGTGATGACATCTATAGCTCCTCTGCTGAAAGTTTATCCTAGTAAGCTGAGCCAGGCTTTTCCATTTCTGGAGAATTCATTTTATTAACTATGACCAAGGAGAACATCTGTTAAAATTCCTTTACATTTAGTTCATGGGAAAAAGAGGGCGGTAGAGAAGGGAAGCCCTCTCCGATCCTAAATTCTCCTTAGACTTTTCTTTTTTCCTCTGAAGCTAACATTCTTTTAACAGATGTCTGAAATGGACATTATAATGAATGAAAACTTAGCATTGAAACCAGCCCTTTACGCAACTGTAGCTTTCACTGTAGATTAGGTGTAAAGATTTATTCTGCATAGTAATAATGCAATTAACGCTAACACACCTTGCATTATTTAAATTGCTTTCTGCATTGCTGCGAATCTGCATTAAGCCTTCTCAGGGTCCTCCCCCCCCCCGCCCCCGGTGACTTAGAAAAATTTACTTATTTTCAGAAATGCAATGAAAAGACTGAAATGTATTGTGGGCTTACTGAGCTGTTTTCCCACAGACCCCATACCAGGTCTAACTTTGCCCCTGGGTCAAATGCTCCACATGCCCCCCACCCACTCACTGCCCCCTTAGTCATGAGGGTGGTTACTGTCTCTGCTCCCCCCCCCCCCCGAAATATGTAGAGTTGCAGAAAGAAGTTGGAAGAGTGATTCTTTCTCCCCATTTCCTCTTTCAACTCTCTGTGCTTTTCCAAGCTCATATTCATTCAATTGGTTCTGACTGGGTTGTTTGGAAAACCAAAGTATGTGTGTCAACATGTACTTTCTCTTTCTGTGTCCTGGGGGGTTGGGTGGGGGCGTGTGATCTGGTAAGGTGGGAGGGAAGGAACCAAAAGATGGAGTCCGCAGCATCAAAGTCGAAATGCACCCACAGGCCTAAAAATGTTGGTGACCTTAGCACAACACATTAATCCGGAAGGTTTTTTTGTTAATTGGAATTTAAGTATGACTGAGGATGAAAGGCACCAGACGAAAACAATCCGCTTTCCTTTGGGCCTGTGGTTCTGGAGCAGGCATAGGGAAACTCAGCCCTCTGGGTGTTTTGGGACTACAACTCCCATCCTCTCTAGCTAACAGGACCAGTGGTCAGGGATGATGGGAATTGTAGTCCCAAAACATCTGGAGGGCTGAGTTTGCCTATGCCTGTTCCAGAGCAACAGAAGAGCAGGTACAATCCTTGGAAGAAAAATCTTTTCCCAAAGTGATGTGAGCTATGATAGCTTGCTCCGGGCTGGCTTTGATTTTTAT